GAAGGAAATGTGCCTTGTTGAATCTGTACACAGTTTCAGAATATAGAGAAAGGGTAGTGGGTGCCATCACAAAATGGCTGCCATGGGGTCTGGGTCCAACCACAATATTTGAAGCTTCCAAGTAAATCATCCTTCTTTTCTGAAAGCTCAGGACAAGGGGTAGTAGGTATACATATTGCTCCAAGAAGCAGGAAAGCTGGGATCAGTTCTTTGCTTTAGGAGAAAGCGGCTGGATTGTTTCACTTTACCAGGTAGGTAGAGTAGGGGGTGGCCACAGAGAAAGATTGCCTGCTTTTACAATTCATCTCCAGGCAACAGAGATCAGTTCACTTGGAGAAAATGGCCGCTTTGGAAGGTGGACTCTTTAGAACTTGTATGGACTTCCAAATGTAAGTGGAGGGTGTGTTCCCTGTACAGTCTTTCAGTTGAGCATCTGTGCTGAGGACCAGAGGGTGGTTTAACATCTCCTACAAAACCAAACTCTCTGCTGCAAGAGCCCAGCTCTCCCAGTCCCTTGCTCCCTGTCTCCAGATCTAGGTGCTGTTCCTGCACTAATGGACATAAGAACGTAAGAGAAGCCATGCTGGATGAGGCCAATGGCCACTCCAGTCCAACACTCTGTGTCACACAATAGCCAAAAGCCATGTGTCATCAGGAGGTCCACCAGTGGGGCCAGAACTCCAGAAGCCCTCCCACTGTGGCCCCCCAAGCACCAAGAATACTGAGCATCATTCCCCTAGACATAGTGTTTGTTAGGTTAGGCAGTGTTCTGACAGTGATTGTTCCACCTCTAAAAGTAGACGTCAAGAGCCCCCCCCCCCCCAAGTGCTGGTATGTTTTTTAAGGCTGAGTGCAGGGCAACGGTCCAAGGTCAGGTCTACCAAAATAGAGGACTGGGTTCTCCAGAGGCCAGGTCTACCAATATAGTGGACTGGAGTGGGTAGACTTGTTCTTCAGAGGCCAGTTGTACTAATATAGTAGAAAGGGTGGGTAGACCTGTTCTCCGGAGGCCAGGTCTACCAATATAGTGGAAAGGTGAGAGTAGATCCATTCTCCAGAGACCTGATCTACCACCATAGAGAACAACGGTTTCTCTAAATGAAATTTGACTTGATTCTGTGTTCTTTTATAATGTTTAAATTATTCTCAAAATATAGTTTACATATAATTTAAAAGAATTCATTCTGAGATTTTTACAAGGTTATAGAAATAATCTTCTAAAAATCTAATTTATGTGACAGTCAAAAGTAGACTTGCTCACAATATTAATGCTACTAGCTTTTTTCGCTCAAGAGGTAGAATTTTTGCTCACAACGCTGTGGAGCTTAGAGGGAAGATTGGCTCGAACTTCATTTGCCACACTGATGCCCACTTGCCCAGCTTTGATATATCCCTCTGGAGCTTCTCACAGTCCTTCCTGGTTTTCACTACCCTGAACAGCTTAGTGTCGTCTGCAAATTTAGCCACTTCCCTGCTTACTCCCAACTCCAAATCATTAATGAACAAGTTAAAAAACACTGGACCTCATACTGTGCCCTATGGTACCCCATAGATGGTTTAGGGGGGTTAGATAAAGATTGGCAATGTATATTATGAACTTTTTGTATTTTTTAATATATCTGTTATTTATTCTAATAAAATTGTGGGGGGGAGGGGAGAATAAGTTTTTAATCCTCAAGAGGATTTATCCTCTTTTCCTATAACTGCTGAGTTCACTTTGGAGCCTTTGATGAGGAAATTTATCAAAAACTTTCTGGAAGTTTAGGTAAACAACATCTTGTCCACATACTTGTTCATCCCCTTGTAGAACTCTAAAAGGTTCGTGATACAAGATCTTCCCTTACATAATCTATGCTGATTCTTCCTCAATAGTTTTTGTTCATCAATGTACCTACTAATTCTGTCTTTAATAATGGATTCCACCAACTTACCCAGTATCAACATTAGACTGAGTATCCTGTAATTTCACAGATCTTCTCTGGAACCTTTTTCAAAGATTGGGTTTACATTAGCTACCTTCCAGTCCTTGGGAATGGAGGCAGATTTTAGTGATAGATTGTATATTTTTGTCAGGAGATCCACAAGTTCACATTTGAGTTCTTTCAAAGCTCTTAGATGTATGCTATCTGGGCCTGATGATTTGTTAGTTTTTAATTTGCCCATCAGTTGTAGGACCTCCTTTCTCATCTCCTCAATTTGACTCAGGTCTTCAAGCTCCAGCAGCCTGGTTCCTTCTCAGGACAAGTGGAGGCCATCTCTTTTGTACAGGTCCTGCTTGTTCCAAAAAGCATCCCAGTGCCTAACAAACTTAAACCCTTCCTCCCTAAGCACACATTGAGACCCCTAATTAGTGCCTGCCTAGCTGGCCCTGCTCATGGAACAGGCAGCACTTCTGAGAAGGCTACCTTGGAGGTCCTGGCCTTGAGTCTCCTGCCTAGCAACTTAAACCTTTCCTCCAGGACTACATGATTACATTTCCCCACATTGTTGGTGCCAACATGTACCACAACCACTGGCTCCTCCCCAGCACTATCTACCAGCCTATCTAGGACATGTGTAATGTCTGCTACCTTCGCACCAGGCAGGCAAGTCACCATGCGGTCTGTACGTGGGTTCTCAACCCACCTGTCTACATGTGCTAAGGATCGAATCACCAACTACCAAGAGGCCCCCTCACTGCCTGACAAGGGATGGTTCCTTGGGTTGAAAGCATACCTGTTCACCAACTGAAGAAGGGGTCCTTATTGAGGGAACATTCCCCATTTAATCAGCACGGTGCCCTGTTTCCCCTTGACTCTCACATTCCCTAACAGCAGCGGGGCTGCCATTCTTGGAGTGGAACACATCTAACAAGTCCCCGAGAGTCTTATCTGTGTGCTTAACTGACTGTGCCTGCTTCTCTAGGTCAGCCACCTTGGCCTCGAGGGCATGAACTCATTCCTTGAGAACCTGGAGCTCCTTGCACTGAGCGCACATCCATGACTTCTGTCCAGTTGGCAGATAGTCATACATGTTACACTCAGTGCAATACACTGGATAGCCCCCAACTTCTGCTGGCATTCTAACTTCATATTTTTATTTATTTATTTATTAGGCTTATATCTTGCCTTACCCCAAAATGGGCTCAGGGCGGCTCACAGAAATTTGAATATAAATAAAATAGCAATAACATACATAAAACCAAGTTAAAACAATCAAACAAGCAAGCAAGATGGCATTAAACAAAGACATAAACTCCAGAGCAGTCCATAGTGCCTCCTGCAGGATGATTAGTTCGGTAATGTATTTCTGTAAGCAGTGGGGCCCAAGATGGATTGAACATCCGCCACCTCAGCTGAAGGCCTGGCAGAACAGCTCCATTTTGCAGGCCCTGCGGAACTGTAACAAGTCCTTCAGGGCCCTGATCTTACATGGGAGCATGCTCCATCAGGCTGGGGCCAGGGCAGAGAAAGCCCTGGCCCTGGTTGAGGCTAAGCAGATGTCTTTAGGGCCGGGGACTACCAGCAACTGTTGATCAGCAGAGTGCAAGGCTCTCTGGGGCACATATGGGGAGAAAGAGTCCTGTAGGTATTATTATTATTATTAGCCTTTTTACTATTTTTAACCTCCTTTTTATAAAACTTCCTATTTATGTAGATTTGTCTGTGGAAAGTGTGCTTACCCTTTTAGGATGTGGAGAGACTAGTGCCCTGGCTTCCTCACTCTGCTGCTGAACTTGCATGTCTGCTAAAGTCACCTGTTTATTCCCTTGTTCCAGACACTTTGTCACCGGAGCTGAGACACTTCATCATGGCAGCAAGGCCTGCTACCTCACAGAGCTGGGTCTGCTCGTAGGCACCTATAGGGTTGCCAAATCTGGTTTGGAAAATACCTGGAGACTTTGGGGGTGGATCCAGGAGAGGGTGGGGAGGGGAGGGGCCTCAGCCTGGTACAATGCCATAGAGTCTCCCCTTCAAAGCAGCCATTTTCTCCAGGGGAGCTGATCTCTATCAGCTGGAGATCAGTGGTAAAAGCGGGAGATCCCCAGGCCCCACCTGGAGGCTGGCAACCCTAGGCACCTAAGTAAATAGCTTGGGCCAAAACTCCATCACACTGTAGCCAATCATACTGATTGTGAGCTAACCAATAAAGGAGGATGAGTGAGGAAGCCTCTGTTTGATTAACAATTTGATTTGATTAACAATTAAGCAAAAGAACTGGTATCTTTTATCATAACCTTTTGTAAGTGAACAATATTTCTATCCCATTTTTTTTACCTTAAACAATTCCTAAAGTCACTGACAAAACTATAAAACATAACAATTAAAACATACAAGAAGGCTAAAATTGAGGGTAAAGATCTGAGTCACTAAAAGGAGGGAAAAGTACAAATAGTGGAAGCAGCCAATTGCCTTTAGCTAAGGAGCCCAAATATGCACCTGAAGAGCAAGGCTCTAGCCGGATAGCAAGATAACCTTTGGGGTGATGCAAGTGGGGCTCCCTTGGGAAGGAACTTCATAGGCTCCTGTTCCACAGACTAAGTGAAACTTTTTCTCCTCCTCTTTAGATATGTTTGGGCCTTTGGAGAAGCGGGAGCTCTTAAAACCACCACAAAGTGAGCTGCAGATATCTTTTTAAAATGCAGCAAATTGTAACTATTGAAAATATGTCTATACCTTCATATTAATTTTAAAGGAAGATGACCCCACTAGAATACAGAAAACGTATTTTGTATTTTGATTTTTTTTTAATTACTGTGTTTGTAAAGGTTATTTGATCTCTGTCTGATACATGCGTTCTTTTTCCACAGCGTTCTGTCCCTTAAGTGATGTTAATAAATGTGTATTTCTGTTACTTCTGTAGTCTTCTTTTACTGCAAGATGAATGCTCTACTGTTCCTCCCCCATTTCTACTTAAAGGGTTTTGAGACTGTCAGCCCACCCATGTTGTTAATGAGTGCCCATCTAAAAGAGAAGACGTGTTCATCATTCTACCACAATTTTCTTTTTGTATCTTTCTAGATTGGAGGACAGTGTAATTGTAAGAGACATGTGTCTGGCAGACAGTGCAATCAGTGCCAGGAAGGATTCTACAATCTACAACAGTCAAACCATGATGGCTGCAGCCCCTGCAACTGTAATACCTCTGGGACAGTCGATGGAGATATTACCTGTCACCAAATTTCAGGCCAGTGCAAGTGCAAAGAAAATGTTATTGGTAGGTGCTATGTAAGAATCTAGATTTCTTTTTTTCCTCCAAAGATAAAAAATAAAACATCAATGCTGATTTTTTAAAAAATGATGTATGTGTGCATTAATAATATACAATTATTAATTTAATAATCCTATCCCAACTTCAGTTTTAGGAGTAGTTGAAACGTCTCATTAGATGTTTCTGTATTTAGTAGCAACATCAGCACCTGCCACCCCATTATAATAAAACAGAAGAAATAGTGTAGTTTACTTACTAGAACACATTTTTCTTTCAAGAAAATAATCTTTTCCCAGTGTTATATCCTTAATGAATTTTAAGCAAATAGCTTCTGTGCCAGTTTCCTTACAGGCCAAAATAAATGGATTGTTATTCCTCAAAAATATTCTGTGCTACAAGGTCCTTTGTGATAATTTTTCCCCCTCTTATGATTTTTGAACTGTTCCTATGAAATGCAAAATGTCAACATAATTCTGCAGATCTTGTACATTGCTAGGGTTCGTTATCAAGGGCCACATAATTTTAATTTTGTAATTCAATGTCAACTTGATTATAATAAACTGCTACCTTCGGTGTTATTTATCATTTTTTTAACAAGACATGCTTTTTTGTTTGTTATTCCCATAGGTATTTTCCAGAAATTAGATTTGATTATAGCAATTCATTACTTCCAACATATTTGAGGGGAGCCACATCTATGTAAGGACAAAATTTATCAGGCACCCAAAATATACAGTGCATATAATGTTCTTTGAAATATTGATGTATGGGAGTATTATACAAGGAGAATTTCCTGATGAAAGGAATCCTGAGTGGTAGCTGTACGTGCCCTAGACATGTGATTTTAGAACCATTCTACTAGATACCATTTTATTACAAATTAACTAAGACATATACTGATTCTAAATATGTATTATAATATCAAAAAGACTTTTCCCATTATTAAGACCTATGTTATGGTCTAATAAAAGCTTTGCATGAGAGAAATCCCATCGTCAAAAACCATTGCACAGTTAACCATCCTTAAATTTCATCAATTCTAAAAGGATTTAGGACCAGTTTACATTCTCAGCAATGCTAATGACTTCCTAGTATATGAGGCTTCAGGTCATAGGTATGGGGTTGTTCCCCCCACCCCAGTCCTTGAACATGGCCAACTAGTATGTCATGGGTAGAGATTCAGGCTGCAGTCACACAAACTAAATAATCCACCTTCAATCCACTTTCAGTGTACTTTCCAACCAGATTTCACTGTGTGAACAGGCAAAATCCAGTTGGAAAGTGCACTGAAAATGGATTGAAAGTGGATTATTCAGTGTGGGTGACCACAGCCTCATACAGGTATTTGCCCCCCCCCAATCCGGGATAAAGAGACAGACAACAGTGTTGGGAACTAATGGGCCACTTTTATTTAACTACAACAAGCATAACGGCATAAAGTGTCCAAAGGGGCAAACAGATACAGCATGGTCAAGGCCAGGGGTATGAAAACTCCTCCCTCGCCAATTGATCTTAGGGGGAGCCACCTAGCCCCAGAAGCAAGCCAAGGGTATGGCTTGCTTCCGGTCAGCAGGCCAGTGTAATTGCAGGAAAAACCCAACCCCTGAACCACAAGGCTCAAAGGGAGGAAAATCCCTGCAATCCTTAGGCAGTCTGTTTTCCCCGCCCCGAGCCACATGGCCCAAAGGCTGTACTTACGAGACCCCTATGCCCCCAAGTGGGGTTATAAGCCAGTACTCACCGTGCCGCAATCTGTAACTGAATAACACCTTGCCACTGTAAAGGGCCAAGCCTCAGCTTAGGCTCTTGCGCCCACTAATGGCCCAAGGCTGCACCAAGCCCCTGCCGCAGGTCCTCCAAAAATACATCCATTCCCACTTCAGAAAGGTGGACTCCATCATTTCTAAACAAGTGAACATCTTTAGCTGTTATGCCAGGATGAGGCAAGTATGTGCCTAGGCTCCTGTCAAGTGCCTTATGAATCTCTCGATTGGCTTTTCGCCATGCCTCATCAATAGCCAATGGGCTGTAGGAACCTCGCCACACCAAGCGAGGCACCATAGCTGACCAAATCAACTTAGTCTCAGGCCACTGCCATTTGATGAACTGAAAATCTGACTGAGCCTGCAAAATCAATGCTTTTCCCTTTATGAGGCCCAGATCGTTGCCTCCCAAATGGATAAGAAATACGTGAGGCGGGAGCCCAACTCTCCCCTCAAACAATAACTTCAGGAGACCAGGCCACTGCAATCCCCTACGGCTGCACCACTCAACTGAAGCAATCTGGCCCAACCCCAACTGTGGGCCAATAGATGATCTCTTTGCCCTATGCGCCGCCCAAAATATATAACTATGGCCGACGATAAGGACACGCTTCCTCTCCGCCCGGCCGGCAGCACCTGAAATGAGAAAACATTAAACAACAACCAAAACAAAGCTGAACGTAGTCTTTCATAGCTTGGGCACGGGTCAGATATATGATTTGTATGCTGTCGACCGCCACCGTCTCAAACGTTGTATGTCCCAAACTGGGTATCCCATGGCAGTGGCCATGGATGGTGCACCAATTCTAAAGGAATGCGTACCAAAACGCACCCCGTCCAGCCCCCATTTGCTCAATGCCTGAGATGTGACCGCCCAAAACTGGTGCTTGGTCAATGGGGAACCATCCTGATGTCTAAAAAGCACCCTGTCTCCAAACCCCCGCAGGGCCAAATATGCTGCTAAGGCAGAAACTGGACACAACTCCTTTTGAGCACATTGGCCTAGAGTGACCACAGCTCCGTGCCTCCTTTGATCAGTTTTTGAAAAGCGCAATGTAAGGAGCGCATGAGTGCCTTCTATGCAAGCATCCCGTGTCTCCAGCACCCAGCCTGACCTGTCAGATCTGGACTGTACTACCAATTCCCCAATTCTAAGAGCCCCCAAAAGGCCACTAATGCCACCACGTGGAAAAGGCGAGCCTCAAATTCTGAAGAAAAAATCTCATCCCATCCTGCCTGCAAACCCAACAATATACGAGGGGAAATTGGTTGCCTAGTGTCAGCCCTAGCTCCTGCTTCCCTAGACCAGCCCTCCAGCATCCTACAGATCTGGAAATCTCCAGTCCCGTCCGCGAGCCCCCTGGCCTTGGTTGCATGAGCCACTGCTGAAAGTACTGCTTTAATGGATCTAACCGCCAGTCCTTTACCTCTCAACATCATGCAAAAATGCAGCAAGTGGTCCACAGGCACTGGCCACTGGTCAGGGTACCCTACCTTTCCTCTGAATTGCGCCAACTGGCGGACCGTGCGGTCATACACCCGCTTCGTACCTGGTGCAATGGACAGGCCGATTGCTCTTTGAACCTTGGCCCTCCAAGCAACAAAAGCTCCTGCAGCATTCTCACCGGCTGCAGCCGGGCTTCTGGGGCAAGCTGACAAAACCTCTAACATCTGTTTGCGAGAGAGAGCGTCAGCCACCCCATTGTCAACTCCCAGTACATGCTTGGCAAGAAAAAGGATATTAAGCCGCAGGCAGCGCAGCGTAAATGCCCGTACCAACTCCATAACCCGGGACAATCCAGAAATGAACGGGTTAATAACATGGACAACCGCCAAATTATCACACCAAAAATGCACGGTGTGATTTGCCTTCACCTCATCCCACAACCAAACCGCCACGACTATGGGAAAAAATTCAAGAAAAGTAAGGTCCCTGTCCCTGGTCACCCCACGTGCTGCCCATTCAGTTGGCCACTCTTCGGCACACCACTGACCTTGAAAATAAACTCCAAATCCCCGTGACCCAGCTGCATCAGAATGAACCTGCAAGCCGGCCTGTAACTGGAGCTCCGACCTCCAAAAAGAAACTCCATTAAAGGAGTCTAGAAACTCCAACCACACACCCAGGTTCGCCCGAATCCCAGCTGTAACCCTGGCCCTATGATGGAGAAGGCGCAAACCCTTAATTGCGTCGCACAATCGGTGCAAAAAGGCACGCCCAGGGGCAACCACCTTGCAGGCAAAATTAAGATGCCCCAATAACTGCTGGAATTCCCGCAAAGAGGTCTTCTTCTTCTGCATAAAGGAATCCACCCTTTTCCGCAGGTCCACAAGCTTCTCCTCAGGCAGCCGAGAAGCCTGTGCCACTGTGTCTAATTCGACTCCCAGAAAAGTCAGCTGCTGCGAAGGACCCTCCGTCTTTTCTTGTGTCAAGGGCACCCCTAGTTCCCCAGTTAATTCCTGAAAACTCTGCAAAAGAAAACCACACTGACCGGAGCCCCTGGGTTTGGCAAACAAAAAATCATCTAAGTAATACACCACCGTGTTAATCCCTGTGCGATTTTGAAGCGCCCATTCAAGAAAAGTGCTAAAACGTTCAAACGCAGCACAAGATATGGAGCATCCCATAGGTACAGCCCGATCCATAAAGAATCGGCCCTCGAAACAAAACCCCAATAACTCAAAGTCCCTGGGGTGCACAGGGAGCACCGAAATGCAGATTTTATATCACAGTTTGCCAGGTCAGCCCCAAGGCCACACAATCCTGATTGCCTGGTCAAAGGAGGTGTATCGCACAGAACATATCGAATCCGGGATGGCATCATTCACTGATGCCCCCCGTGGATAAGAAAGATGGTGAATCAGCTGGTATTCCCTTCGTACCTTTTTAGGGATAATGCCCAATGGGGAAACCTAGAGATTGACCACTGGTGAAACAACAAAGGGGCCTAACAAAAGCCTCCATGCCCCATAAAGATACCAAGTTTGCCACCATGAAAGGGGCCTGAGGTCCCTGACATGGAATACGAAAACCCAAAGTAAAACCCTGCAACAAAAATTTCCTAGCCTGCCGGTCGGGGTAGTCCATCAACCATTCATGAAGCACTTTCAGCTTTATGGGACTGGGTCCCTTTTCCAGCACCAAAGCCCTGGCTGCTAGGCTCATAGTGCTTCTGCTCCCTGCGGGGCTTGCCCCTGAAACATGCTGGGAAGGGGTGTGGGCTGCCACACATGGGACATTCA